CGCTGCGGCGGCACCATATGATGAGGTCGATGGATTTTCAGTTGAAGTTGATATTCTCGATTCCAATCCATAACTCGATTCCGCTGCGGCGGCACCATATGACGAGATCGATGGATTTTCAGTTGAAGTTGATATTCTCGATTCCACTTCTGATTCTGCTTCATAGATATGAGAATATGATGGTAACGTTGCATCCATCTGATTTCTTATGCTCGATTCCACTTTTGGTTCTGCTCCACAGTTAGATTTAAAATTGGTGCTATCATGTGACGAAGGAGATGGATTCTCTCGCGCTTCAAAGATCTCTTCAGTGCGCTTCACTAATTGAGGTTGATGATTGGATGGCAGTGTTTGCAAGGCAGGATCATTGCTTGTTGATAATATATTAGGGTGATTGAATTTAGCATGTGACAGCATCGTATCAGGTGGATGATATTTCTTTTCTTTATCACTTAACCCATACGAAATTGAAATTTCCTTTAAATTGTCTGGTTCTCTTTTAAAATCATCGTGAGAATCTTCAGTTTTTTTGGATAATTTAAAATAATGAGTGGCTATATAAAGAGGAAGTGGTATTTTTACCAATTTGTTGGAGCTTTTTCGAACGTTCGTTTCAAATAGCGGAAATTTCATTTTATGATTAGAGGTTAAATCAGAATTAAAGCCGGAATTCTGTTGATAAGCTGGTTTCAGATCATCTTTATTTCTCCGTTCAACAATCACTTCTGTCTTCTTTTTGTCTTCAACCATCCTTCTGGCTCCTTTTTTGATTAATTGAATTGTTTCCAGAAGAGTTAAGGCACGACTGGGGCTAAGCTGTCCATTAGGACCAATCCATTTTGAAGCAACATTTTCCCTTATTTGGTCTTTTGCAATTCCATACTTTAATTTCAAGCTCCTTACTTCTGAAAAACGTTTCATATTACCGATTCAAAGGCAATAATTATAGCAGCAATAGTATTGAAGTACGTATTCATCATATTCATAATTAGCGTTTTCAACTTTACTGCTAACAACTTACCGGTTGGCCTTAGTTCAGACTTCAAATCATTATGTGATTTAGGTTCGTCCCAATATTTTCTATCTGAAAAATACCACACAATTTGAAATATTATAATTAAATTAATCTTAAAACGGTTTCTTTTTTATTAATTATCACAGCCTTTATGATATGTGAGAAAATTCCATTATTCTGAATAATTATGCAATACTAAAATACAAATTAAAATAAATATTTAATATTTTCCATCAGAAGTGGTAAATAAGTCTTTTTATATAAGAATGATAAATAAGTCTTTTTATTAACGATCAGTTTATTGCAGATTAAATTTGTTAAAAATGAAAGGATTAATCGTTGCTGTAAAATTCAATAATTACTGGAATACTTACGAGAAATTTGCGAGATGGAAAAATGAAAAATTGTCCATAAATACAATAAACGCCAGAAATTATTCATTCTTAAAAATTAGTTAATTATTATCGTAAAATTACCACAAACATTATGAAAACGAATAGGAAAACAAAAAAAAGGATCCAATTGCAATTTTTTTTAAATGTAAGGAAATGTTTGAAATTTTTAAATCAAAATTTAATATGCGAAATTCGGACGCAACCATTTTCTTTGTAATAATTTTACGAAATTAACATAACTTTATATCCTCTCCTCCTTGAATAGAAAAGCTGTCAGAAATAACTTGAAATTAAATAGAAAATGACTTTATAACCAGAAGACGGGTAAAATTTTTAATAAATCCCCTCTAGGTAAATGATAGTTCATATATATATATATATATATCTCACAAGCAATTTGAACAATAATTGATAGGTAATATGAGATCATAACAGAATATACCAAGAGCGAGTTTGCCATAATCCTGCTTCGGGGTGTGCAAGTCTCGCTTGATTAATAATCATTATTATCAGCAGCTGATAAACACTTCCTTTTGAAAATGTGATAGCATGATATTTTCATTCCAAACATAATCTCATTTATAAACAAATCTATTTTTATTTTTAATTACAGTAATTTAATTGAATTTCTTATTAACAGTAAAGCTGTATATTTATTTCAAAATATTATCCATTATCACGAACTATTTTACTTCTTCATCATTACTTCGAAGGCAGTTGAAAAAACTAATTATTGAAATAATTTCAACTAATATGTTAAGTGAAATATGCGAATTCATTTTTTTTTCGAAATTTTCTATGAAATTTCAATATTTTTCCTTTACATTTATATTGCTTTTTAAGACTCACACAAAATTAATATTTAATTTGAGTTTATTATATTTCGTTTTACTCATATCAGTTCAATCATTCATTAGATAAATTCATCTTCCAATTAATTCGGCGTTGTAGTGTATTAAAATGTTATTATTCAATGAAACAATGAAAATATGTGATAGAAATATGAAGTGAAATTTTGATAGCAGTCCGATAAATTTCAAATTAAAACTTACACTTAACATTCAAAATAATTTAACCAGAAAATAATTACAGTTATATTATATTTAATAGATCATAAATTTTTTTGATCATAATTTTTTTGAAATATATTTTTTTGTTAACAGCATAAGATTGAGCTTATTTTTTTAAATTCTCGTCTCCTTTTTTAGCGCATTGAGCAAACAATTCTTTGAAAAAATATAAATATTTAGGAAACAATTTACAGGATTCATACCATGCGTATTATGAATAATTGTCATAAAATTTTCATTAATTCTCGTAAATTAAAAAAATTTTGGGTAAACATAATTAATTTCAAGATTTTAATGAAACGTACAAATAATAATGTATATAACAAATGAAATAACTATAAAGGATTAATATTTCCACCTAATCTGTCCAATTTTATTTTTTTTTTGACACATTTGTTGAGTTCACAGACAAGACTGGTCTTTGGAGCAGAAATGAAATTGATTTCTGTTCGGGCCCTATGAAAAACCCTATAATGATGTGGGATAAATTGTAAAATTACAAAATGAAACGAATTAATAAGACAATTTTATTAGGTCATTTCAATGATACCAATAAATTTCGATCAATTTTAAATATACTCAGGATTAATTGTTATCATAGCTTCGCATGACATAATGGGCAAAATTGCAATAAATTAATTTCCTCCTCATAGGCACGATGTTTGCAAGTTTGGCAAAGCCAAAACTGATGACCAAGAAGTGGTCGACCGGTTGCCACACATGTTGGAAATTTAATATCACACGATGGGCATACTTGACAATAATCTTGAATTTGTGCATAGCAGCTCGTACATTCCACCTTATTCATTCGTGTATCTTTCGGTGGATATCTATAAATTATCGATTAGTGCTTTTAATAACTTTTTTTCATCTTTACTTTGGTGAAATAAAACTTATGCTTACTTAGTAAAAATTTTTATTGCAAGTTTTTTATAAGTTTCCTTCTCATCTGCTGCAAATGTTTCCAAACTTTCTAGTTTAATGAATGCACGACTGCATACTGCAAACTGTCGCGCAGCGCAACTCGATAAAGCTACAAATAATTTAATTGAAAATTCATTGAAAAAAAAACTAGCATTAATTAAACTTAAAAAATTTTGCAAGTTAAATAGCATTATGTATTTAATATTTATTTAAAATTTAAACGACTCGCAATAAAAAATCCAAAATTTACTATACACCTATCAGTAAAAAAGAACGATTTGAAATGTAAATCACCAAGAAGAGAATAAATTTCGGCCGGATCGATAAGATCTTCATAATCCGTCAAATGTAGGGCTGTCGTCATTGCTTTATCCATATCACCTATAAGTCTTTCCTAATTCAATTCGAACAAAATTTGCAAAGTTTTCGAGAAGAATATCTTGTTTAAATTGAGCAAAAAAGTTGAGTTTATTATTGAAAATAAGACTTTGATACTTTAAATTATTAATTTAAACATGTGATCGATCAATAAATTAGATAATTATCAGTTAAAGAATTTCATAGAACGAGAAATTTTCCTATTCAAAAATTTAAACGAATATCAACAATATTCTTTCAATTCTTATTCATTTTCCTGGTCATTTTTACCACAGCCATATATTAACAAATATTAATTTTTATTATAAACGATAACTTTCACAGATAAAGCAAGGTTTTATATTTTTAAAAGAAAAATTTAAACGAAAATTACCGCTATAGAGTTGCCGATGTGCAAGCATATAAAAATGATATGCTTCAGCACCACGCCATGCATTATCAATGAGAGTGCTATCAGCAAGTGAAATTTTACAATCCATTTCTAGCAATCCTTTCAGAGCTATTTCAGTCTAAAATACAAATATTTCCACCTTGAAATTTGACAGCTTTCAAATATATTCAACACTTTTGCTAAAATTAAACTAATGATTTTTTGGTTCCTTCAGTTATTAAATTGAAATATTCCACAGAAAAATATGACTTTTAGTAGCTCGATAACAAACTGAAAAATTATATTTCATGGAAACTTCAATACATATCACTTTCAAGTGATAAGTAGGGGAAGTGATTACACTGAGAGGGAAAGAGTTCATAAATATCAGGTTATCTCATATGGTATATAAAGAAAATGTAAATGCTAACATCTGATTTTTTCATTGACTCCTTAGCAATTTCTGATTTGTTTTGTTCGTGATACTGTTCAATAAGAAGAGCGCCCATTACGTAAAGTTTTTTTAAGCGTAAAATTTCAGCTTGCTTCATACGTTCATCATTTGCAACCTAAAAGTAAGTAATTGAATAACTTTTCATGGAGTATATAAATAAAATTATGGAACATTTATTTTTACACCATATCAAATAAAAATTAGACTAATAAATTTCAAGTTTTCTAGCAAAAATTAGTGTTTTTCAATAAAAGAATTATGACGCAAAAAAATGCTATTTTTAAAATACTAAGTGAAAATAAAAAATTGATTACTCATCAAAAAAACTTCTCTAAAATATTCGTCATTAGATAAATGATTAAAAGATATGTAATATAATGTATTCGTCGATTGCTCTCATTATTTCATCCAGAAATTTTATCTCAAGCTTCTTTCAAAACTAAATTAAAACGAATTATGGAAATGATTGGAGAAAAACATACATCAAAAATAATACGAGCTGCTTCCAAATATTTGCCAGCTCTTCGATAAAGTTGTACAGCTGCTAATGATTTCTCGTTACTTCCTACAACAACATTAATCATTGCTTTCTTAATTACTTCTAATTGTTCTTCTTATACTTTGTGCAATTTTCCTGTAATATTGATTTTAG